AAGTGCTTTTCTTATTTCAAGGAGAAAAACAGCAGTAGAGCTAAAAAATCAGCTCCATTTATAAACCCCCAGAGCCAATCTGATATGTCAGAAGCTGAAAGGGTCTCAAAATCGTCTTGTTCCGAAATTTCCCCTCGCGGCATACCCGAACTGTACGAGGAAAAAGCTCGGAAGTTGAGAGTGTTCACATTTTCCGAGCTAAAACGGGCGACTAATAATTTTAGCAGGTTGCTTAAGATTGGTGAGGGTGGTTTTGGGTGTGTTTACAAGGGGATTGTTAAGCCTGTTGATGATGAAAAAGGTGAACCTTTTGTTGTTGCAGTCAAGAAATTGAATAGAGATGGTTATCAGGTTTGTTATTTGTATGCATTTTTCAAATTTTGTTTGGGCTATTTTCTGAGTGTTGATTGTTCTGAATTCTCTAGCAAACAATTTGGACAATTCAGTATAATTTTCTGTTGTAATGTCTACTAAGAAGTAAGAAGTTCAAATTAAGTTCATTCTGGGATGAGTTTTTGTGTTTCAGCTCATTGTAAATTTTTCTATGTGATTGGGTTTCTTGGTAAAAGGGACTATCTATCTATGTATCTTCCTCTGTCTATATATAATGACCCAATGCATCTCAATCTTCATANAGTTTCTAGGCATAGTCGAGCACCCAAATCTCGTCAAGCTAATCGGGTATTGTGCCGTGGATGCAGAAAGGGGTATACAGAGGCTGCTTGTATACGAGTATATGCCAAACAAAAGCTTGGAGGATCATCTTTTTAACAAGGAATACCCAGTTTTATCGTGGGATTGTCGATTGCAGATAGCGTTCGGGGCAGCTCGGGGCCTAGCTTATCTCCATGAAGAATTACCAGTCCAGGTCTTTTTGAGTTTTGACATTCATAGTAATAAAAAAAAATTAAAAAAATCTGGCATGTGATACTCTTGAAGGGAGCTATGGATAATATGATTTGTTGCAAAGATTTGAATTTTTTTCAACACTTTAATAAGTGACCTTTTTGATTATTAGGTCATATACCGAGATTTCAAGTCGTCCAATGTGCTTTTGGACGACGACTTCAAGCCGAAGCTCTCGGACTTTGGACTCGCTCGTGAGGGCCCCACGGCCGGCCACACCCACGTCTCGACCGCGGTACGCTCTCCTTTTCGCCGCCTAAAACACAAAACAACTATTCCGAAACTTCACGAGCACACCGAAGATTATTTTTCCAACATTTAGGGAGGTGTATACGTTTGGGATTTCGAGTGACATGTTGAGACTTTTGGAGATTTGAGACGTTTTTTAAGATTTTCAGATTTATGAGGAATCCTGTGAAATCTTAACTCTAGATGTGGATTTAGAGTGAAATTTTTTATATATTCTTTTCTTCACAAATTCCAGCAAATCTTAAAAAATCTTAACAAATCATAGTCTCAAATAAATTAAACACCTCAGAATTTTATAGGACTTTTTAAAATTCCAAATTAATATCTCAAGACTTTTAAAAGTCTTAAAAATTCTAAATTAAGTACATTAGAATTTCGAAAGTCTTACAAAGTCTTTAGAAAACCCTNAGCCAGAGGCAAAACGGTAACTTTTCAAACTCGATCGCCCGTTATTTTAGGTGGTCGGGACTTACGGCTACGCGGCCCCCGACTACATAGAAACGGGACACCTCACCTCCAAGAGCGACGTGTGGAGCTTCGGTGTGTTCCTTTACGAGATCCTAACCGGGAGGCGCTCGCTCGAGCGGGCCCGACCGAGGCCCGAGCAAAAGCTACTCGATTGGGTGAGGAACTACCCAACCAATAGCCGGAGGTTCAGTTCTATCATGGACCCGCGGCTCGAGGGCCGGTACTCGTTTAGCGGGGCCCGCGCAATCGCCAGGTTGGCGGACAACTGTCTGGCGAGGAGAGCCCGAGACCGGCCCAAGATGAGCCAAGTGGTCGAGACACTCAAGGACATAATGGTCCTCTCGTCGGGGGTCGAGAGCCAGACGAGTGAGTACACGGACAACGAACGTGAAAAGACGGATATGCCCTCAGAGCACGTGGGGCCCACCGAGTCGGCCAGGAGGCGGATGGCCCACCTGGCTGAGATAACCGAGCGCGCGGGCCAGGTCGGGCGGAAGAGGTTTGTTGTGATGCAAAATGGCCAAAGGTGACGTGGCCTTTGAAGATCAAGTTATATATGGTCAATGTAATATGAAGTGGTGTGTTTGTTAGTTTTCAAATTTTGGTTTGTAGAGAGTAAGTAAAGGAAGTTAATTTTTACTCTTGTTTGTTCATGTATATTTCTTGGAAAAATTAATGCTGGTTTGTTTACAAAATAATTCGTCCAAAATGAGTTATTTTAGTTAATCAACGTTAATTTTAAAAAAGTTGGTATGGTTAGTTGTTAGTGAGATTTTAAAAATGTATTAAAATAATATTTGAAATAAAATAATTAAAATTGATTGATGTAAAAGTATGAGATAAATGATTGAAAATGATTGGTAGTTAAAATTATGTAAGTGGATGAATAGTGAATTATAGTTGATGTGATGTGTAAGAATAATTGATTTGTAATATTTAATTATATAAATAATATTAAAAATATTGAGGTTGAGTTAGAATTAAATTAGATTTTGAATATAAATTAAATGTGAGTGAAATAATTTATAAACATCTGAAATTTTGTATAATTTAATTGCAAATTTGCCTATCATATTAGCATCAATTCTGCATTGGTCCCTGTCACAGGGGCCAAAGAATCCCCACACATTCAGCTCTTACGCGATGCCTCGAGAAAATTATGTTCCCTTCTATTTGGTTTATTTTATGTACATTGTCAATAAGAAATTATAGTCCCAAACTAACAGTAATTTGTGGTTCATATATCCTTGTCAATCAAAAATAAATAAAGAAATAGGAGTATTTGTTTGTTCATCGTTAAATATTGATGAGAATCTATCTATACATAAGAAGTCGTTCTTGAAAGTGAATTATATTTTCCTAATACTTTTTTAATTTTTTGCACATTATTAAAATTAATAGCATCAATCATACAAGAATTATAAATGACTAAATGTAAATGCAGTGACCGGTTGTTATAAATGACTTTTGTTGAATAGACTTAATTATTCACATCACAATTCACATCCATACCATCTTCCAAAAAAGGAAGCGGTCGTCTCATTATTTCGTAACATAAGCAACAAATGCATAAATCAACACAATATAATTTGTACGGGTTAGGATCACATGAGAATAATAGATAATGAAAGAAATAAGAATGATTCTATACCATTGGATCCAACACATCAATGATCATGATTAAGTCAAATATTAAATATGGTAATCAAACATGTCATGACAATGTTGTAAATAAGTGTATATTTCTTAGTCAAATATACACATTTAACCATTAAATAAGGGCAAAGGGGTTAGCTAATTATACACATCACATGTGGGACCCACTATCACCCCTACCAAAACTTTCACTTCTCTCACCTGCTCACACACACATGTCGTGGATTTGCGCCGGCGACCACACCATCTGCAGCACCGCTCGCCCTCTGCCTCCCGCAGCTGAGTACCGCTGCCCTCTGCCTCCCGCCGTCGAGTGCCGCAGCCATCTTCCGCTCGTCGTCAACCCTCGCCGGACCACCAACGCATACACCCATCTCCGTCGGACTCGCCTAAAATTGCAGACAGTCACGACCACCGCCCCGCCTTTTCCCGGCGCCACCACAGTACGGCCAGACCAGTCGTGCCACCACCACAGTCCACCGCCGACGCCGTCCAGTCGATTGCCGGAACGAACTTCACGGCCGCAGTCCACCGTCAAGCGGCGTTCAGTCCACAATCCAGACGACACCTCAGCGAACGCCGGTGTCCTTCACGGCGAGAGCCACCACGTTGTCGGCAATTATCGACCGGGAAGGGGTTAAGTCGAGACGGCTCGATCTCGTCGCCGGTATTGAGGAGAATTGTGAAATTGTGGCCGATCCGAGAGGAAAAGGCGGCGGCTGTCAGAAAAGAGGGACGAGAGTCATAATTGCAGTTCATGGTTGTGCGTGGAAACTTTTTGCAGATTTTAGGGGCTCACTTTTGAAAATTTGATAAACCGGTCATAGGGTCTTAATTGTAATTTTTAATTCTTTTAGTAATTTATAATTTAGTTTATGGGTCAATTTTATAATTAATCAAACTACAAATAATATTTCAATACTTTTATATAGTATGTAATATGCCTATATTGTTTTGGCTAAAAATAAATAATATGATACATAAAAAATATAAAACATAATAACAATAAATTTTATATAATTTGGTCGTTCCTTTATTTTAGTTATTTAACCAAAAAATTCGATATTGAATTAAAATAACCGAGCTTTTAAAAGTAAATCAAGGCAATTGAATTGAATTATAAAAGTTCGAATTGAAAATATTTATTCTGTCGGCTTCGATCAATATTGTGCAATCTAATATATATTAAGGTGCAATTCATATAACTATAATGTGCAATCGCGTTACATCAAATTTATAAAAATAATAATAATATTTTTTCATATTGTTCGGCCTGATTGTTTTTTTGATTATTTTAAAAATTAGGTCACCATCAAACTGAAATGACTGATTTACAAGTGACGATAATCGAATGAAAATATAAATTTTTTTAAGCGACAATTTGAGTTCGGTGATTTTGATATCTATTGTGCAATTCGATAGTCGTGATAAAGTGCAATGTGTTGTTTTATAAAGTGCAACGAGTTGATTTATAAAGTGCACTGTGTTGATGTATAAGTGAAATGATGTAGTTTTGGCACGTTAGCGTGCTTGTGTTTTATGTGCATAAACGATGTGATTGATGTTAAAGTAATTTGTGTGCCCGTTTTTTGGATTTATGTGTATCCATGTTTTATCCGCTGATTGTGGAGTGTGTTGATAAAGTGCAATGAGTCATTTTATAAAGTGCAACGAGATGTTTTATAAAGTGCATCATACCGATATATGAAGTGTATTGTTTTATATGATCTCATATAAATCATGTATTTTTTAAAACTAGATTTAATAGATATAATTGTACATCAAATTAACCTAAATAATTGAGTCATTTTTTTTGTGTACTAGAATAATTTAGTTATTTGGTTGGTTAAAATTAGTTTATTATTTGTGTTATAAAAATATATTTTACATTTTCTTATTTTTATTTAATACTTTATATTATTTTTGATTTAAAATATATAAATTATATATGCATACAAAATATATAAACACCATTAATATGAATTTTATTAAATTTTATGTAAATCACATATTTTTCCCATAAAATAAATAGAAATTAAAACACCATTTTTTAAATTGCAAATGATTCCCTAACCTAATTTTCAAATAAAAAGCCAAAATTTCATTTACACCTTCCCAGCCACCAACAGCCACAAACCATTCCCATCATTAATATGAATTTTATTAAATTTTATTTATGTAAATCACATATTTTCTCCATAAAATAAATAGAAATTAAAACAACATTCTTAAATTTGCAAATGGGTCCTTCAAGATGATATAATTTTCAAACAAAAAGCCCAAATCTCATTTACACTTTCCCAGCCACCAATCATTTCCCGACGGCCGACCTGTATAGAGATGAAAGCCGTTTGGGCCTATGGATACACGGCGGCTGCAAGGGCGGACATTGTCAACCGCCGCTCTTGAAGGATCTTCCCGATCTGTGAATTCAGGCACCGACGGTGTCTGTGCGCGTGTGGACGACGGCGATCAGCGATAGGCGAACGGCGGCGTTTGGTGCGTGTTCAAGCTCCGGCGACCGGCGACGTTGGTGAGCGGCGAACGGCGGTGTGTGGTCGTGCACGTGTGTCCAGCTTTCAGAGGCGGTGGCTAGCAGCGACGGTGATTTGCTCGGCGGTTGTGGCGGCGTTTCGTGGTGGTGGTCGGACGGTAGCCGCTGTGTGCGTGCGTCTGTGTGGGACTTTGTGTGTGTGTGTGTGTGAGAGAGAGAGAGAGGGAGAGAGAGAGAAATTGGTTAGGTAAGGAGACTAATAATGGGTTTGACTCACGTGGCTGGGGGATTTGGTGTGTACGTGGGTCTCACTGTTTATATATGAAAATTACTTCATTACCCTGAAGAAAAGTATAATTTTGGTTTTTTTTGTCCATTAGATCATCCGATCTAATGAATATATTTATTCTTATTTCTTTCACTGGACACTATTCTCATCGGAACGCGACCTTAATTTGTACCGCGGTCTTACCTATCTAACCTTCTACATTTCTTCAATAAAAATTCATACTTACATTGTAAAATGTCATTTACATTATCTTAATTAAACTTTATATTATTCTTGGAGGATTTATATTTCTTCAATAAAAATTCATATTTCTCAATTAAAATTTATATTATTCTTGGACTATGAACAAACTTCATAATTCCAAAAGATGATAAGAAATAGCAAGTATTAACCATCACATAAGAAACTATTCAAGTAAAAACATCCATATTTTTTTTACTGTCATGCTTTTACTTTGAAATTTTTACATTCAAATGCATAGACCACAATGCTATTTGAAAAAAAATCAAATCAAATCAAAACTGTTTGATTGATGGGCCTTCTCTTTTCCTCCACTCTCTCCCTTCTCTTCACATATCAAAGCCCACCTCTGTGAATTCTCAAAAATTACCCCTCCATCAAAGTCCCCTTCATCACAGAAGTCTTGGGAAAATTAAGAACTGCAAAGTGCAAACTCCATCATCATCATCACCATCCTTTCCCTTTGACCCTTTACTTATTTTCCATTATTTTTGGGTATTTTTTTATTATGATTTTCAAATCATAAATTGTCTNGGTAAAAACAAGCTCCTAGCTTTAAATCAAGCCCACCATAAAACCCAGATCCCAATTTCAAATATTAAAGTTGAGGACCAAAATTACCCAAGATTTATTATTATTTGTTTAGCTAAATCAGGAAACAACCCATAAAAAAGCAAACTTTATAAGAATCTCGAATTTTTCACTGACCTGTACATGTAGATATCACTGTTTTGGTTCAGTTGTCTGTGGCAAAGAAAACAAGAATCAAGAAAATGGGGCTGGTGGGTTTTCTTCTCAGATCCAGAATAAAAAGGCCTCATCGTTCTCTGAAGCAAAAATCCCGGCGGCGGCGCACGGCGGAGTTGCGGTGGGGGAGGAGAAATGGTTTTTGTGGGCTGTGGGAGGAAAAGGTTGGTTGTGGAGTGGATTTTATATAATGAGAAAAAAGGGGAAAAGGGATTTGTATTGGTGATGCGTGGACCACCTGGACCCAGTGAGTGCGACTAATCAGTTTGATTTCGTAAGTCTGATGGGTTTCTATTGGTTGAGAGTGCCGTAGATTAATGGTAGCTGGAGCCTGGAGCACAGGAATATGTAATGAAATGATTATTATTTATTTATTATATAAGCTAAAAAATATTAAAAAAAAAAAAAATCAATCGCAGTTTTGCCAAATCCTGTGGCAGTACCGACTGTAGTACAGTATCGTATATCAGTTGGCGAACCAAATTTATTTCTTTTGGCCTCTTTTTTAGGCTTTTTTCTTTAAATTTTTTTGAGGCTATTTAAGTTTGTTAAAACTAACTGATAAGCTAGTTTATAACTTATGACTTATAGCTGAAAAAGCTAGCCTATATAATAAAAGAGTTTGGTATAATTATCTGATAAGCTAACTGAAATAAAAAATTCAACCAACTTATTTGAAAACCTACCTAAAATAGTTTATCAGATAATATCGAGCTTCTTAAAAAAGTTCATCCTACCAAACGAGACTTATTTAAATACAAAGATCTCGTAAGTTAATCAAATAAGCTATAAGGTAGCTTATTTGACTTACCAAACATAGCCGTGACTTTTTTTTCATAACAATTTTTTTTTTTCTAAATTATAATTATAATTTTATATAATCTCAAAAATATGTTACATATTTTATTTTTCTTGATCTTATCGGCATTATAAAAAAAACATAAAATATTTGTACATTTACCATGAAAAAGTATTCACTTACTTATTCATAAACATTATTATTGCCTACACATATTATCCTACTCTTATGTAATAATAAATTAATCCTTACATTTTATTGTATATCAATTATAATTTCAAAAATATGTTATCTTCCTGTATTGTTTCAATGATTATTTTCAACCTCATGTCCGAGAAACAAAATTTTTCAAACTTTTTGAATATTGGGACCCTTTAATTACTTTCCCTTTGTCTTATTCGCAATACAATGTTTGTTATGTCTTAAATCAGGCTTTCAAATAAATGTATAATTTTTTCCACATTTTTTTCAAACGCTTGAAATATTTTTCAATAGAGAAGCACTATATTTTGTATTTTATCTTGAAGTATAATTTGAGATTTTTTTTCCTTTTGATTTTAATTTGAAGTTTACACCTTCTGTTATTGAGGAATCTTTCAAAGGTGCATGAAATTCAACGTTTTCATTTAATGTAAAGATTGACTATTTCTTTCATTCTTTTTTCTAATAATGTTTGACAAAGTATAAAGAAACAATTAATGTTTTTTCAATTAAAACATCTCAAAACCATGCATGTTCATGATATTATCCCAATTTTTTTTGGTCTGTAATAATTTATTATTTGTTAGCTTTATTGTTATATTTCCAACAGAAATCAACCCCAAAATCTAAGGTTACAAATATTAAATTAAACAGAATATTGAGCACTTCGAGATAACACATGCATATTCATTTTTAAGCATAGCTGTAAATTTAATAATTGAGTGTTGTCATCTTCTTCAAAATAATATAATAAGATGAGATACCATGATTATATAAATCACTAATTGAAAATTTAGAAAATAGATTAATATAATAAGTTTGCTAATTGGTTCGAGTTCAATCATTACGCATTTTGTTTGAAATTTAATATGTAATAGGATGATGCTAAATGCATATAATTTACGTTGTTAATGTCAATAGACTTCAATTCATTCAATGCAATACTATTACTAAAAATGGCACAGTCAATTAAAGTCAATTTAAAAAAAAAATCACGGACGTATGTAATATGCTACCATATAATCTGTTATCAAGTAGTAAAATTTTGATGGTTATATATAAATTAATTTGCGGGAATAAGGCCGATCATTTGAGTAGATTCGACCCTTATGCCCCATGTTAACTAAAACAAGTTGTTCGTGAGCTCGATTCGATAACATATGTTAAGACTAAGCTCAGATTTGAGGGGCGAAATAGTCAATTTAACTGTTGGAACAAATAAACAGAGTTATTGGCGAGCTACTCAAAAGTCAAAACTTTTAGAATAAGCTCACTAATTCAAATTCTTTTATCTCGTGAGTTTACTCTAGTAAATATTCTTTTGACAATAATGTATTATAGTAAAAATATTTTAAAAAAATGGTTATCGTACATATAGTTGGTGACAATCAATTTTTAATTAAGTCTGTATACGAATAATATCAGTTGTCAGCACAATTTAGCTTAGTTACAACTATACATACAAACTTATATATTTTTATCAACTCAAACATGTTAATCACTTGTAACTGCATTGTTAGTAATTAGAAAACATAATATGAAATCATAACATTAATGTGCGAAACTAAACAAGCATTAACTTATCATTTCCCATCTTATAGTTAGTCGATTTTTCATACTCAATCGTTGGTGCAAAAATATATATGCATTTATTTTTATGACCTGTCTTGATGAAAAAAATGAGGCAAAATAAAAATAAAAATGAGGCAAGCTTGGTAACTCCTACTATATTAATAAAAAATTAAATATTTGTACCAAAAAAAAAAAATTGAAAATTTGTTGAATATCAAATAATGAGCGTAGAATAAATTCGTAAATTAATTTCAGTCCATTATGTTTATATTTTACAAAAAAAAATAAATAAATTAGAGAATAACAAATTTGATTAAAATAAAAAATGAAACATATATACATATAGAAAAAGGAAAAGGAAAAAATAATAAAAATAAAAATGCACTTTCAATTCCAAGGTTCCGACGTCATCATGAGTCACCACAGGACACAAAATTTTCATGAGTCATCATGAGTCATCACGATAGCGATGGGTCGTACTCTATAATTGGTGCACGTACGCCGGTTTGCACCCACGTCGTCTCGTCCAGCCGTGGCTTGTGTTTTTACTTTTTACCTTTTTTCTTTCTTAAAACTACACTGCTTGTCTGCTTCCATTTTATATTTTGCTAAAACTCGTGTCTCCAAATTTATATTTTCTTTTACTTTTTATTTTCATTTTTATTCAGTATTTGTTCAAAATGAAAAAGTGCAAGTGCATACTCTCTGATTGATGTATTGGAATTTAGAACATCAAGTTAAGGACGACAAATCATGTGATCGCTATGTATTCGTGATTTATTATTGTATTTTTGTATTATATTAATATTATATTTTCATCATGAATACGATGATAAATCACAATTTAATTAAATTTTTTATTTTATATTTTTTGTGTTCTGTTTTGAATTTCGATGTGCTCATTGATTTTGTAATTATATTTTCTAATTAATCTTGTCGTATCGTGGTTAGTAGCATGCAAACTACCAGATTATACGAAGACTTATTGAATTTTATTTTTACTAAAGCATTAGTATTGTAGAGATAACTTCTAATTATATCATAATTGCTACTATATATTTTGTAGAGTTCCTATAACTCTAGTTAAGTACAAATACTCACTACATCTAAACTCTAATTTTTTATTTGCAATTGGTTCAATCTTTGATTTGAAATTTGATATAATATCATTTACCGAATAAAAATTTGTATTTGTTGTCCATATTATCATTTATTGCCACCCTTACATGAAATTTTCTACATTGATATTATTTTAGTTTAAACATGCAGATGATGGAGCTGCGTGATGATCCACTTTGTTGTTTCGCCGATATCGGCCCACTTTGCTTGATAGGCCCATTTAAAATATTCCATTCAACAAATATGGACTGGGCTTGGATCTTTAAGAAGAGATTGACCCAAAGACTATAAGTTCTCCCCTATTTTCTATTCTAACAAGTAAATGTCCAAACATTGATACTTATTACTATATACCTATACATGCATATGTGCATATTAACATTCATAATTTATGCATGTAATGAGCACTACGAACATGTCTAATTACTAGACAATTATACATTTTCAATAAATATTTATACCTTATAAGTTAAATGTCACTCTAAAAATTTAAAACACAAAATAAACAACATTATGATAGTTTATAAAATAAGTATGCATTTTTTTTTTTAAATTTATTACAGGTCAACTTGCGCAACGATCAAGTTGTCTCACGCAAAAAACTGATAATAGAAGTGGCACAGCTCAAGGGGAAATGCTTATTGGTTATTGAGAGGTTGTTTGGATACGATTTTGTATCCAAATATCCAATTATTTTTATTTCACAATTCATTTATTCACATAAGTTTAACTCTCCATCACTTCCAATCACTTTTCTAATATTTTACATCAAATCAACTTTAATCATCTTATTTTTTATATAATTTTAATACAAAATAAAAAACTCACTCAAACTTAATCCACTTCCAATGATCACTTTCTTATTTTTACAGCAAATCAACTTTAGTTATTTTATTTTAAATATTATTTTAATACAAAATCAAAATCTCACTCAAATTTAACCCAATTTTTTTTTCAAAACTAACTTTGATTAATAAATAATTCTAATAAAAACTCAATCAAATTTATATCCCAACAACTCTGAGCTTTTCATGCTGACTTTGGAGAAATTGATAGCTTATTTTGCCTAGAATAATTAGCCGAATTGAATCGCTCGTATCGTGAGTTTATTTAAGTCTCACTTAATTCACAAAAGTTTGATAAATAAGATTTTTACTTCATTTTGTGAACTTCTAGCATAATTCAACTATATTTGTAAATTTTGTTGATAAACTAGCTAATAACTTATAAGTGAATTTTTGACTGATTGTTAAATTGTTTATGGCTATTTGTTGAAAACTAGTTGATATTGTAAAATTATTTGACAAAAATAACTTCATAAGTCAATTGAAATAATTTTTTCATCTAACAATAAATTACACAAAAAAACTTATGAGATAAATT